CAAAAATCCAGTGCACCTAGTTACAGCTTCACAGAGCCAGCAGCATGGCTGTAAACATATAGCCCACTTCAGTCTTTCTTTTTTTTTTTACAAATGTTGCCACAAATGAACAGAAACTGGCTGCTGAAAATAAAACTGAAACTGCAACATTTTGAATCTATGGTGTCAAAGAGTATCTCAGCACTTTGCCAAACAAGTAATCATACAAACAAAGACATTTGGTTGGATTACAGTGGAATCACTTGCTGGCACATGACAGAGAAAATTATACCAACAAACAACAAAATAGTCACCTGACTGGTCTTAAGCCTCAAGTTTTCAAATACTGTCAACGGCATATTTCGCAAAAATACACACACACAAAAAGTAATAATATGAAAGCCACTAAGTGACTATAATACAGTAATGCTGTGTATTCATGTTAAGGATTAATGGGCTCATTGCTAACAGACTTGGCAGAGAAGTCCCCTCCCCCGCACTTGTCTTCATTCATAGTTCCTGAAAGCAAACATAATATGCATGCAGAGAATCCTATAAAGTCTTACTAACTTACATGTATATGCAAGCCTCCGCTGATCGATGTTTACCTTCTAATCCACTATGCTAATCCCAACATTCATGAACTACATCTATTGTGTGTTTGGTTTCAAGCTTTGATCACTTGTGTTACAGTCATAATTTAAGGCTCATGCTTTTGCTGTGGCACATAGATGGATCTGTTGTCTTTGCAGATACTCCAGCACATTTTTTACAGTTACAGGGTAAAAAAAAATACAAATACAACAATGTCAAATGAGCACTACAAGTCATCCCGCTTTTTAATACTTTGGTTTATGAGTAAATACTATGAGCAACACTAATGATTTTCCTAACAGCTGTGCTAAGTGCTAATTTGCAAATGTTTATATGCTAACATATTAACATGGTAAACATTAGAGCTGCTAAGCTTCAGCATACTGTCATTGTGAGTATGTTAAGATGCAGTGCAGTGTCCCATCCCATGACATAACCATGATCATAATCTTTTCCATACCTTCACCAAATGTTGTTGCTGTTCTTGCATCCATAGCCACACATGGACAATTCTTTAGTACTACAAGTATGATCAAGAAAAATTCTAATTAAAAGCCCTCACTGACAACCCAGAGCAAACTTCAACTATAACATCAACTGCATGGCTCTGCATGATCAACTAACGTCCTGGTTGTTTTTCCAAATTTGTTGTGTAAAAGATGTGCAAGTAACTGAACATTTAGGAAAATTTAAGATGCTCATGTAAAATATTTTTCAACAGTTCCACATTAACTGATACGCACACACACACACACACACACACACACACACACACAAACAGTAATCAAACATAATGAGGTAGGAAAAAAGATTTACTGCTGTAGTAGAACAGGGACTGATTGTGACTGTAAATTTTCAGCATAATGGGATATATAAGTCACATAAATTAGTAGCAATCAGTCAACAGTATGCATACACTAACAGTCAAAAGTTTGGGCAGTATTTATTTAGGCAAATATTTATTTAATACACTGCTCAAAGTGTCTCATTATCTGACGGAATGAAGTTATATGTTGTTCATAAGAAAACTGCTGAAGGGAAGTGAGTTGCTGTCAGACATTTTCTATGAATTATTTGACCTGATGTCAGATGTCATTCGGTGCCACAAACTGCACAGATGTGACCCTGCAAGCAGAAGGAAACAATGCCACTTAAGAGAAAATATTATTAGATACAGTACAAGCCCCAGATATTGAAGTTTAAGTGAATTGTTTTGTCTGTATATTGTGATAGTTAACACTGCACCTAGTGCCACTGCTGCAAATACAGTCTTACAAAGCCTGCCTGTCAGGACGCAGGCAGACTGACATTCACTGAAGTCTGGGGTAATTGCTGCTGTCTATTTATAGATCTTCCCAGGGCTTTTAATACTACAGATCACGCTTTTCTCTGACAGAAATAACTTCTCACAGAAGGTTTATAAATGATGACAGACTCTGTTTGATGTGCTTGCTTCATAGATTTCTATCCATCATCAATGGGCTGTGTGTTTGAATCTCTTAATCTGTGTCACAATGTAACAAATGTTGTTTGACAATAAACCGATGATGCAGTTATTTAGTCTTGCTAATGATGATGATGCTGATTGAACATTCTAAGCTTCTTTTACTGTAATTTCCTAAACGCTTCTCTGTTTCAGTTCACACGTTTTCACTGTAGAGGAAACTTACACAGTGTTTGATTTATATGAAAGCCCAGGTATAGGTTTCCTTCAAATATACTCATTGTATTCACCACTCATAAAAAAAAAAAAAAACTCTTTTTCATTGTACAGTAAATGTTCTGCTTCCAGAAATATGACTTTATCAAATTTGAATTGTGTTTTGGGTTTATTATCAGTTATTTTATCGCTTTGGTGGGAAATATAAAAAATAGAAAACAGATAAACCAATGACTGTGTAAGACTCAGCAAGAAAGAGTCAGCTTTGTTCAATCAATGGGCTTTGACCCTGTGAACCCCCTGTTTTTATATTGATTCACTTGACTTTGGATGTTAAGTTAACTTTCTTATATGATTTAGATTTTTCTTTCCTTTGTTGACTTGATTTTTAATGCTGCTTCCTTTGAAGAGTGTCTCATAAAGAAATGAGTTTTTTTCTAAAGAACCGACTTGGGGAAATACAGGTTAAAAACTTTACACTAAAGTATATTACTGTAAGTATAAAAAGCAATGCACTATGCAAACACATGCATGTACTTCTACATACAGTGATACAAACATTTTTCTATTGTAATAAGAAGGCTGTTTCAGTAAAGTGCATCTGAATAATACTGTATAATGACTACTATTAGCACTTTTATCAGTCTGTCTGTCTGTATAGAGAGAGAGAGATACACTAGATAGTCTGTAGACCAGACATCACATCCCTTTTTAAGTGCTGACAGTAATGACCATGGCCAAGTGCTGAATTAAATTAGATTTTTTACAGCTGCTGCAAAATCCAGTGATTTAATTTTATTTTTCTCTATATATGTTCCTGGGTGACTTTGCATTGCATCTGGCCTTCTACAAGCTTAATTCTGTATCGTGTATATACTTGTACAGCACACCACCCCTTTGTTCTTTGTGAATTAATACTTGCTGTTACACAGCTAATCTACAGACAGATTTTAACTGGGTTTTTCTCCACTTTGATCTAATGTTTTCATTATGATGCAACATGGAAATTTCTGCGCAACCTCTGAGATCTGAACAGGGAGAATCGCCAGGAGCAGAGAAATAAAGTGATTATTTCGACCAATTTCTGTGCTGCTCTGCGATGGTATTGCTCATGGGTACAAAAAACGAGGATAGTGTGTTTTAACCGTGGGCAGCAAACCTGATTTGTATATTTCAGCTGCAACACACTTAATGCAACAAAAGGCTGAAGCTTATAATTGGAGACTTGTACATAGGCAACATCCATCAGACATCAGAGTATTCAAATACTCTGTCTAGGAACATTATGGTTTCCAGACTCATGGAATTTTTTGTGTATTATAGTGTAACTTGATTGATACATCAGAACAATCTACATAAAATTGAGCCATAATGTTTGAATTTCCCTCATTTTAATCACTTAAAAAATACAACCATGACCTCCTTTTAACATGGCTCTGCAGTTACCACGCATTACCTAGCAGCCCTCACAAAACCTCTCCCTCCTTCTCCTGCCACTTTAAGAGAGCAAGAAGGAAAAAAGAGAAAAGCTGAAATGAAATGTGGGGTACTTGTGTCCTTCAGCGAACATTCTTCCCATGAGGCTCAATATTTGGAGGATTAAAAAGTAGTGAAAATGGATTAATTACCACGATCACTTTCCACTTGCAGCCCAGGGGACTCACCGTAGGACTGGAAGATTCACCTAGTCTCCCACTGCTCCTTCCATCTGCCATGTCACACCTACAGTTCACGGCCACTGCACTGCAGCTCTTCAAGCCCGCACGGCATAGGGTTGGCATAAATTTGCAAAACCTGGCCGGGTACAGGGTGCTAGGAAACTCTGAGAGCAAAACAAAGGTGAAGGTTAGGGGTCACACATGCAAAGGATGAGGTTAAAATGGCTTGACAAGCACTTTGAAGCCTACCCAAGTGTGTGTGTGTTAGCTGTTACCTCTGAAAGCACCACAGGGTTTGCCATATCTCTGGCAGTAAGCTCCCTACCAGAGAGTGAATGTCAGCGTGGCATTGCAATGTCCTCCTGCCTCTCTGAGGCTTGTCATTAACACAGTGGGCTTTTTCCCCCTGCGATAACACACTTCATTCTCCTTTTTTCTCTGGTTCTACAGAGGTTTTCAACACATCTATAAAGTGAGTGAAGCATATTGATGGAAATTCAAGTGTTGTCACACCAATGTCTCCATAGTGTCCCACAATGGCACTGACCTGAATTGAAGAGCACCTGACAATGTGACCAGTGCTGTCAGAATTCAACACATCATAGCCCTGACATGCTCTACAGTCACACAAAAACCTCAAAGGAACCCAGTCACTACTTTGTAAATGATTGCAGTACAACAGGCATTATGTGACCAACCTTGTCTCCTATATGCTACCTAATGGTTTTGCCTAATGTGCTTTGGTGGGAATGCATAATGTATGCTCACTGTACTGTGCAGTAAGTGTTTTTCCAAACCAGAAAGTGTTATTCTCTTGTTCTGCATCTCACATGTGCATGGTTGGATCAGCCTGTTAGGGGACTCTGGGGTGGGGAAAATAGAAATGAAAAAACTGCTACATCCCAGATGACTGCTGCTCTTCCCACTTCTGCGGCCCAAGATTTTGCAGTGTGTTGGTTTGATTAAACACAAATTATTGTCTGCTTTACTACATGAAAAACTGCATTTTGACACAAGAGCACTTGAAAACAATACCTCAGATAATGAAGGAGGACACATTTTCAGGCTGTTATAGAGTAGAATAACATATTTTTCACTATGGCATCTGTGCACTGAACCTTTGCTTTAAGTTAGCACTGGTTAGTCCCCTGTGGTTATGGGGCCATGAGGCACTTACCCACTTTGCCCATTTGGTTCAGCTTTGCATGTGCAGTTTATGTTAAGGTTGAAAAATGGGTGAAAATAAGTGAAGATTGTGTTTTTCATTAACTATTAAACAAGTAAACCCCTCTTGTTTTGTGTCACCACTGACTTTTTAAATATATAACCATGACAAAATGTTAGCCGTGTGTTGCAACCATGTGCCGACATTTCAGGAAAAACTCATTTAATTTGTCCAGATGAAAAATGTGTAATCATTATTTTAATTAAAAAAAACTGTAATCCTGATGGCATTAGTTAGATCTCTTGCAAATGATCTTTACTGTTGTCAAATAGCTGATATAAACATGATTTAGGATTACCTAAATGATAGCATCATCAACAGACATTTGAATACATCATAGCAGCCTGTAAAACACAATTAATAAAATCAGCTTTTCTAAGTTGAGATGAGTTAAAATGAGTGTTATAATATATCACAAGGCAAAATATTTAAATAATAATGTCACTTGTTACCTTGTAGCACTGACATTGTCCCTTGCAAAATTGTGTTCTGCCATGCATGACAAAAAGCAAAAGGTCATAATGTAACTTTTGAAAGGTAGACTGTCCAGCGCCTGCACAACACTATTAAACCCCTACAGTTATACTGCTAATAATGGTCATTTTTTGCCAAAAACCTTGCTTAATATACTTTTAACAACTATCTGTGTGCAGTGATGTGTGGGTGGGAAAATGTAGGAAACGGATTTCTTTGTTTCTGACTGAGGGTAAAAAAAGAATGACTTTTGTTTGCAGATCAATATTAAATCTGGTGTGAATTTCATGGTGTTGTACCCACTGCAAACATAAAATTCTCCATCATGTTCTCACTGTGAGATAAAGATCCCCCTTTTTTTTGAGGAGGTCTCAAAATGGAGCCTCCAGGCAGACTTTGAGTGTTGCCCTCTCCGCAGGCAGAAATCAACTCTGACACCCTCTGGCTGCAGCACCGGTTCTGCTCCACATAAGTGTTTGTTGCAGACACCAAAAGCTTTTGGATTACTGAGCCATCATATTATTTAGGAAAAAAAACATTGCAGGTTGTTAAACTAGCGGCAAACTGATGATTTCACTGTTTTGCTGCAATATGCAGTGGGCTGGGACCCTGGGAACTATTGATTTCTTCATTTTTAGCTGTTAATGTAATGTGTAATGTGATCATTTAAATTACTGACTTATCCATGAATAAAACATTCTGATTACACTGATCTGACAGAGCAAATTAGAGACATTAAAACCACAAATGAACTTAAATATAACATTAAACTTATTTTAACATAAATGATGATTTCAAATGTTATTTTCTTTGGGTTCAATGTCTGCTTAATTAAGACTGCGTAATGTTTGCTTTCCCTATGTTTATTAAAACTTCTGTCCTGCAATCAACAGCTAAAATAACAAATAATAGATTTAATCAGCTGGTGCTAATAAATGGTAATTCTGAGAATATGCCAAAAGACAACATAAAACATAACTGTTGTCTGCTACATGTGCCGTGGCTGTAGCATTATGCCATCCTGTGGTTCCCTCGGCAGTAAACTAGACAGTCCCAAATGGGACTATCACATTTTCCCTATGAAAACCGAGATGTAGCAGCAGTCAAAATGTCCCAGTTAAAACTAAGTACACCACAGTATTCAATATTTCAAGCTTGTTACCATAACAAATCTGGATTTCTGAGGCTTTCAAGGCAAGGAAAACAGCTTGATCTCAGTATTAAACATAACATGTACAGTACTGTAAGCTCAGGAACCAAAGTGAGGCCTGAGAGCTGTCACCATTGCCATTTAGATACATTTTGCTTTAACATGTTATAAGTGATTTACTTAATAAAGGTAGGTTGCTGTCTTTTTTGAATGTCACAGTAGTATCTCACCATAAAGCAGAGGGATAATACTGTTTTGATGTAGCCTGGTGGCATAAAGGTAAACTGCGTGCACTGACGTATATCTAAACTGATGCACAGAAATGCATGCTTTTATAAGAAATAATAATAATGATCAAAATATGTTTAACTATAGGTAAGTTTGGTCTAATATATCAGTTTTTAAAAATCACAAATGTTATTATATTTACAGTTTCCAGGTGTTAACATACAGTATTTAGCAAATAAGAAATTCTTCCATATGTGCATCCTAATTAACTGAAAAAGGCGCTGTAATATAGTTAATAAAATGTATGAATGGGTGGTCCTAGGTGGATAGCTGGATGACTAACTGGATTATGAGGCTGATCTCTAGAAATTCTTCTAAATTCTGCATGTCTTAAAATGCAAATGTATGCTTCATGAAAAAGTGAGATGAATACATTTTTCCACCATAAAGGGATTATTTGAAAGAGACGCTATTAGAAACAGGCCACAGTTTCTCATTTAAATACAGTACAGAGGAAGAGAAGAGAATTGTGATTTAGGTGGTGGATGGCCAGGCAAATTAAAACTATAATGTAATATGTGACCCAATATTTGGTATTGTATGGCTGTGAGAGTGTAGTAAACAACCTCAACCTCATGCTGTTTCAGTAAAAAAAACTGATATGGTGTTATGTAGCAAAATTAGCACAAACCAGTTAGTATTAACAGTACATGTCATTAAAGGAAATATCATTCATGCCTCTCTAATCAACTCAAGAAAAAGTCTAAAAACTGTGTGAACAAAACTAATTTTCACTGAAGCCATGTAGTCTGATACGTGACACTGTTTAGCAATGTACTGCTGTGAAAATGCTGCAACCCATCTCATGGGGAAACTTGTTTTTGTGGAAGGGTTCTGTAAATGTCCTTTCGGGACAGTGAACATAAACACAGTATTCTTGAAAAAAAATGGATATTGATATGTTAATGGTGAGAAGTACCTTCTCGGTTTTGAAATAAGCCTCTGAAGACTTGAAAATAGTTTGAGCAATCATGGGGTGTTACAGATAATGCTGTGTCAGCTATCATATAAATGTGCTGGGCTGGTTGTTTGGGAAAAATACTGTATGCCTGTTGGGCTGCACCACAGAATTCATTTCAAGCACGGTGATGTAAAATAGCATGCAGCCCCATGTAAGCTAAAAAGGTCCCTGCTATAGTATATTCATTGCAGTGAAGAATGGAACCATTACACTAAGGTACTCTCTGCACTACATTAAATTACAGTTCACATTTTCCATCTCACTTGGCAAATGTTGCTTACATATAAGCTGTTTCACTAGGCTATGGTATGCTGGTGTGATTTGCTGGACAAAAAAATCTGATTGCAAATGCAAACAATACAGTAAAAATATCACAAACAATGAATGTCCATCCATCCATTATCTATACCGCTTATTCCTGAATAGGGTCATGGTGGGTAAGTTGCACGCCCCTACTCGACGTGGCAGGAAATTTTATTCC